CTCCAGAAATGTTGAATGCAAAACAACGCAGGCACGCGCGAGAGACATGGGCCTGGACGGTGCTACGAGAGACGCGAGCATCCGAACTCTCCGCTCCGCGAGCCAAGGCTGCAGTGCCACCTAGCTTGGCCTTTAAAACTCCATCCATCGCGATGTTCTCTGCGATGACAATGCCTTCGCCATATGTGGGTGTGTGACGGCGTAGAGTCTCGGTATCCGGATATTGGGGATGCTTCTAAGCTCAAGCTTCGAGGACACGGTTACTGATCCCAGAGCACGGGATGCCGCAGCCAAGAGGGTCTATGCCATGGTGCCTTTCCACCGAGACGACAAAGACGTTCCCTCTCGTGCTGGCAGTCACCAAGACACCAAGAGTTACACAGACGACGGGCAGTATTCCGTCGCGATGAGAGGCATGCCAGACAGTTCTTGGCTGAACCTACAGCCACGTGTACCGGAGTGCTAGAGAGAATTAGCGCCGGTCGAATGGAATATTATCCTCAATCAGAAAGCCATCAACACTTGGTGATACATGGACAAGAGATTTGGGGGCGCACGAGGGCAGGGAGATGGGCGGGTAAGGGAACAGGCTTGTAGCGAGGGGAGGGGAGACGCCACGAGGAATGAAGCTGGTGAATGCAGTCAAGGCGGGAGAGACATGAGGCACGGTGCTAGGCGCAGACGGGACGGGATGTCGGCGGCGATGGGAGAGAAGGATGGCTGCGAGGTAAGGCGGTGGAAGATGTCGTGGACGTGGACGGGAAAAGATGAGGACAGGATGAGGACGTGGTCGTTGATGTCGTCTAAAAGTCTTGGCTGGCAGGACCCCGGACGAATCGAGCCAAATCAGGCAGCACGACCGAGTTTCCGACAGCTTGGCACAGACTAGCCTGCTCCGCCACCGTTCCCCGCCAACTGTTGCGCAGGCAAAGCAGGGCCAGGCACATGTTTTGACAGGACACGGGGTACTGCGTACGCCCGCATTTCGCGGGCTGCTTTGAAAACCTGAGGTCCCTTTTCCTGGGGATTCGGGGCCAGTGGAGGTCTGGAGCTGGAAAAGATGGGGGAGGGGCCGTTGCCCGATGCTGGTTTGGACTCGTTTCCTACGGTAGGCACCTTGATTAGTATGTACCGCGTTGTTGTAGCTGACTGATCAGCGGTAAAACAAGAACGACATTGGATGCGAACAGGGGAGTTTGGGTCAGGGAAACGTGGCTGATGAAGGCGCTTCAGCTGGCTGTCGCAGCGGATACGGGAGAAGAAACACTGCATGTTAGGTAGAGGCTCCCTCGGCCCTAGCGTCCGCCACACTTGCTGGTGGCAGGACCAACTGCCCGTTGTGTAACTGAGAATGGCGACGGAAGCACGAACTGACCTGAAGCTCACAGACGTGAGAGAGGTAGATGGTGTACGACGGTACCTAAGGTAGGTAGGTAAGATAAGATACATAGGTACGGAGGTACGTATCGTTACCCCAAGATTTTGACTGGTGCCGCCCCGCCAGATTAGGTTTAAGTTTAGGTAGGCACGTTGGGTCGAGAACGCCCACCCGCCCTCATTTTTGGGGGAGCTCCATTTGTCGAAAGCGCTGACTCAGATAACCATGAGCTCTGAATGGCCAGTGTTGCGAATCTCGGCTCCACATCTCTCCAACCCAGTGGGACCGGTTCGTCCAGTCAAACCCTCAGGAACTGAGATTATGGAAGGAGCGTGTCCACCTCGTCCTACGGCAACTCACACGGCTGAATTGCTGATGGATGGCTCCTTCCTTCCTCGAGGCAGCAAACCGGTCCAGCAAGCATTATTCGGGACTCCAATTGCCAATATGAAAACGCCTCGATTTCACCATCGGCATCTTTTCAGGCTGCTTTGCTGACTCTGCACTGCACCCTGCCGCCGCCGCCTACAAAGTACACACCTACTAAGGTATCAACCACCTCTTGCTCACCTCGCCAACTTGGTCCAGATGCAGAACTGCAACCCCAAAGTACCCAACCTCAGGTCGCTGCCATGTCCGAACCGAGGACCGGTCCCAGATGCATGGCTGCGCTTCCTGGCCGTGATTGGATACTTCTGACGGCGCCAGCGTTGACTGGCTGAGGATCTGGCCGGTCGCTTGGTTGCTGACGAAATACAGATCAGAAAGTGATTAATACGACGCTGACGGAGAGCCCTCACTCTCTCGTTCGCTCCTGCATCCGGTGCCCTGTACGTACGGATACAGATGACAGAATACCATATCTGCATCCAACCCGACCTCGACCATGGATGTGCTTCCCTGCCCTGCAGGAGACCAGGATATCCACAGGGACGCGTCTGTCCCGACCGGGGGGCTCATGGGGTAACCGGGGACAGCATGGGTCAGCCCCCTTTTTAGGCCAAAGGCTTCCAGACTTCCAGACCGAATCTGCGAACCAACGTCGACTCTCCAAACTCAACAACATGAAATGGCTTGGCGATTCTTGGCAACAGGACGCCATCTCCCCTCCCCCAGTCTTCTGAGCACTCTCCAGTCTCGCTGTTGCTGCAGCCCTCTTCGGTTCCCTCCCACTTCTTTGCGCATGTCCACACCCACAGGCTCCATCCTTTTGGATTCTCCTCCGGTTTCGCGTCCGGCAGTCTTCTGTCGTCAACAACCCCTCAACGTTCGAATAAGCCAGACTGAACTGGGACGAACCCGCCACTAATGCCCATCACTACGGCACTGATTCTACTACGTACTTCCCCCGCGACTTGATCCACTGCTGTTTCTTGTCTGTCTTCCAGTGCATAACGGCAAGATGCTTTGGGGGGCACAAGACAGTATCTTTGACAGCACGATGCTCTGATGCCTATCGTCCGTTCCTTTTCCCGCACGCCAGGCCTTGAAATTGTTCATTAACAGCGAGATTGCAGGCTCATCTGGTGCTCGCTGCCTGTCCAGTCCAATTCGCCATAGCAATGGTTGTCCCAGGGTCCATCTCGGCCAGGAACCCCTGACTCGTTCCCAGGCCCGACAGTGAAGCGTTACGCATCAGTCCCAACAGACCGTCACCGTTGGCTTTCGTTTCCAATTAGCGCGAGGTTCAACCCCAGACACATTGCCCTGAGCGGGGATGAAGTGCTCGATCAGCGAGCAATCTGAACGGCTTGGCAACTTGACAGGGCCTTGGAATCTCCAGGTCCATCTTGCATCGACGCCTTCATTTTTCGATCCAGTGCATCCGTCGGACGAAAGGCTGTCTCGGCGCCCAGGCAGCCTCAAAAGCCACACTGTCGACCGCGCGGGGGAGAGAAGAACGGCGAAACTTTGGAGGGAAGATGGTTCCCGTCATTGATACTAGCCGATGATGGTCGTGTGCTAGTCACTGCCATCATGGGGGTTGTGCCCCTCCCCTGCACAAATCCCTCGCCCCAGGCGCCCTGAGACGCGGCAGCAGAAAATAGTGGCTGTCTTCTTATCGAAGGGTGCCGATCTTCTCTCGGCGCGCGCAAGTTCGTTGGCAGCAATGGTAGTGGTGGGCTCTGTGAGCGGCCAACCTGATGTCCCCGAAGAATTCTGCAAGACAAATCCAGGCACATCTCCGGCTGAGGGCTCCATTGGATTACACAGATATCGAAGACGACATTGACAGGGCTCCTGGTGAGAGGCAAGACAATCTGCGTGTCTTGGAGAATGTGCAAATCCACATTCGCCGTGCTTTGACGAGATAAATCCATTCCTCGCTGACAATCAGCCATGCCAGCTTGTGCTTGTAGGCTCTGGTAAACGGTCTAGACCTGATAAATCAGCATGGGCACAAAATTGGCCATTTTTGTCTGCGGACAGATCTGCTCCTGGCATACGTCCCTGGCGGGAGACATCTCTAAGACCCTAGGGGCCTTCTCAATGCTGCTAGATCATCTAGCGTACGGCGCATGCGACAGCTCATGTACCATGGAAATTGCACCAATGAGTTAGACGACTTGGGAATCGATACCGCTGGTGTGGGAGAATCGGAGTCCGTCCCCCGGCTCCCTTTCTCCCCCGTGCCGTGACCCCTAGTCTCCCGCCTCACCGAGTTCACCAACGCCACCCGTCCTGTCGCGCCAGATCAAAAGATCCGGCTCACGCAAAGGAATGGTGTGACCCCTGTATTATAAGCCATTGGATATTTTGCCTCTGGTGGAGGACCTGTTTCGTGCGCCGCAAGCCAGGCGTGCTGCCGTGTAGCAACCCGGACCGGGCAATCCGCGAACTTGCATCTCGCCGCCGGCTAATTCCAACCTCGCAGAGCCTCGGTCACATCAACATTTCAAGTCCAACGCCTCCCAGGGGTGTCCTCCTGCGCTAGTCGCCGCGTCTTCGTCCCGGTTGGTTGGATTAATAGGTAGCATTTGCCGGAAAGGATCCGTTTTCGGGTGCGATATGCGAAGGTCCTGCAGAGTCCCCTTTTGCTGGCCCAGGGGCGGAAGCTTTTCAGCTCGCTCCTTCTGACCGTACACAGCATACGCCCATAGGTATCTTGTCGTAGGTTACGGTAAAGCCAGATTCATCAGCCTCATGGCAAAAAGGTCTTCGTCTCGTCTAATCGATGCCAGATTCGTGTTCTTTGCCATGGTTAGCTTGCGTGACATCGAACTTTCATCGACTCACTCTCCGCCACGCCTTCTTTCCTTCTGGCAATGTTGTGTGACGAGGGTTTGGATTGCGCTCCGGAACACATACGGGCCCAGGACAACCGATACCTACCTATCCATCATCATTGCAGCATGATGAAGTTCATGCAAGTTATCTGACACGCTTCCGAGTGTAGGTCGAACTTAGAAACAACCTATTTATTTGCGAAGACCAAAATGCCACGCAACGTTACGAGCAACACGCCTCTATCTTTACTTGTGCATTCCTGTATGACCATCCTTCGACCATGTAAAACTCCTCGGCGCCAAACCCTTTCGACATTATCATAACAACAGGTAGCCATCGTTGGCCACGGTATAGCTTCGCACCGATATTTTCACTCCCGAAGAAATATACCGAGTTAAAGAGCCTCCACGGCTCTCAAAAGCACCTCAACACCCCTCTTCCCGACCTCATCGCCACCATTAAGCAGTGACGCCACATCACTGAGCACACCAAGAGGGATGTAGCAACCCGACTTGGCTTTCTCCAGGCTCTCTTTAAGCCTGCTAGTGTGCTCCCATTCTTTGGCTGCCACCTCAGCTCGCTCGATTACGCGGTTGGAAATGCCACACATCGCTGCGCAGTGCATTCCGAAACTGCCCTCCGCAACACCTTCCTCCAACTTGTAGAGGAAAGTAACACGACGCTCTTCTTCGTCAACGTGAATCTGCATACGACGAGGCACAATCTCTGGGTGGTTTTCAAACTCAGTGGCGAGAGAGTGATAATGAGTCGCGAAGAAGCCAACGCAGCCTACGTGGGTTGCAACATGATGCAAAACGGCCTGCGCAACGGCGACACCGTCATAGGAGCTGGTACCGCGTCCGAGCTCATCCAGAATGACCAAAGACCGTGGTGTGGCTTCCGACAATATCTTCTTGGTCTCCGACAGTTCGACAAAGAATGTTGATTGAGATGCAAAGATGTTGTCATTAGCACCAAGTCGTGACATGATTCGATCAACGGGGGTAAGTCGTGCAGACACAGCGGGCACGTAGCATCCGATCTGCGCCATGATGACAGCAACACAAGACTGTCATGAAGTCAGCATCTAGTCTAGGAACATATAGCACAGGATTCTTACCATTCGCAGAACTGTCGATTTGCCAGCAGCGTTGGCACCGGTCAGCAGGTTGATCTTGGCAGAATCGCCTCCCAACTTGACATCATTGGGGATGAAGTCAGACACTGTGTTAAGCATACAGGGGTGGCGAAGTTCTTCGAACTCGACAACGCTCCTGTCTTCGTCCACAAATTCCGGGCGGCAACTGGGCTCACCCAGCGATGACGAAGCCTTGGAAAGACTAACGAGGCAGTCGAGCTGAGAAATGATCCTGATCGACTGCGACCACGTGTCGTAATCAGCGTCGAAGCGCTGGAAGAAGCGCGTAGCAACCTCCTTGACGATCTGAGAGTGTGTCTCCTCTGCTTCCTGAAGTTCACGGACCAAGTCCGTCAGCTCTTCAAAATAGTAGCGCTTGACGCTTGCAGTCGCCGACATTTGGCGCCAGTTGTTTGGCACCTTGACAGCCTTGGGTGCTTCGATCTGATAGATTTCCTTGCCGATATCCGTGAATTTGATTGTCTTGCACTTCAACTCTGACTTCTTTCTTCCAAGAAGCGATTGCAATTCTTCCTTAATCTCTTCGATGCGATCTTGGCTGTTGTCGAAGTCTTCCTCAATGCCACGCTCCGGAATGAGAAGCTTCTCGTCTCTGGCCTTCTTCCGGTCGAAAGCAGTCTTCCAGTACGACAGTGGCTCGTTGAGATTAGGCATGGATGCGAGAAGGCGATCGATGAGGCCGTTGCCGCCGCCAAAGGCACCCAGCAGGCCCATAGTGTACTCAATCTGCTCGAAACCCTCCAAGACACGGACGAAATCTTCGGGCTTGCAGAGCGTTGCGTGAATTCGGGAAATGAGACGCTCCAAGTCCGGCATCTTCGTCATCTGGGACGAGAACTGTTCTCGGACGCTTCGATCAGAGTTGAGCATATCGACAGCATCGAGTCGCTCATTGATGCGTTTGATATCGCAAAGCGGGTGGCAAACCCACTGACGGAAGAGTCGCTTGCCGAACGGAGTGACACATCGGTTCAGAAGAGTGAAGAGCGTGCCTTCGGGGCCGCCATTCACAGTGTTCGCAAAAATCTCCAAGTTGATCAGGGTTTGACCGTCTAGGATGAGAGTACCGTTACGGCGGATGGGAGTGTACCACTCGAAGTTGCCTTGCGACAGCAGGCTACCCTCAATCTTCAGAAACTTGAGATAGTGGATAAGACCACCCAAAGAAGACATCAGCAGGTCCTTGTCTTTGGCCTGGGCCAAAGCATCAGGCCATGTCTCCTCTCCGTCCTCGTTGGCAAAGTAGCCACCACTGGATATTTCCCGGCGGCTCATGTCCGCGTCAAGGAACTCAGTGGCCGACTTCAAGTAGTTCCAGATGGTCATTGGGGAAGTGTTGTTCTTGAGGATGCGAAGAGCCTTGGTTGAAATTCTCGACTTCTCCAGAATGAGCTCTCTGGGGCTGGTCTGCGCAACGAAAGTCTCAAACTTGGTCAAGTCGGCATCGTCCTCGAACTCCGAGATGAAGAACTGGCCAGTCGCGCAATCCACAAACGTGATGCCGAATGCGGGGCTGCCGTCAATGACGGACTCCTTGATACACGCGCAAAAGGTCGCCAGGTCGTCCTGCAGCATGCTACCATCCACCAGAGTGCCGCCAGTCAAGACGCAGGCTAGCTCTCGACGAATGATCTTGTCCGCCTTCTTCGCCTTGGCAGACGTATCGCCTCGTTCTCTCATCTCCTTGCCAAGGGCGGATTCCATCTGATCAACGCGAGCAACCTTGTAACCTTTGGCAACGAACTGGTTGACCCACATGTCGAGGGAGCTCTCAGGAACACCGACCATGCGCATGTTGACACGGTCTGTGAGCTTCAAGTCAAAGAGCTGGTGACCAATAGTGGCATCGTTCTCGTACAGCTCGTAGAACTTGCCCTTCTTGAAGAAGACAACGGTATCCCACAGTTTCTGCTTGATTTCCCAGTACTGCTTCTCAAAGGGAGAGAACTTGCTCCACGCTCCTGGAGGAATGTAGACAGAGGAGGGATCGTACTCGGGATCGCCAGGGGAGTTCTTGTTAACGTCTTGGATGTTGGCCAGCCAAGGATATCGGGCTTCGGGCTCGGTGGCGTGAGCCTTCTCCTTCCGCTTGGAAGCGGCTGGTCGACGAACCGCCGGACCCTGGGCAGAACGAGGAGCAGAGGAGGCAACGCTCTTCGGATCGTAGCGCCATTGCTGGGCAGTGGAAGTCGAAGGCAGCTCCTCCATCATCTCGTCCTCGTCTGTGGTCTCTTCTTCCTTGATTGGCGAAGAGACTGTTGTCTTCTTCCTTGATTGTGTTTTCTTTGTAGTCTCGGGGCGCTTGCGCTTCTTAGAGCGTGAGGGAGCATCCGACTCGTCGGACACGACAAAGTCGTCCATTTCTACACCGCATTAGAAACATGAAGATTTTATGCAACGAGCTTCATCCTTACCTTCGTCCTCGTCAGGCCCATCATTACTGGCGGCATCCTCATAATCGTCGCCATCATCAGCTGGAACAGCGGGTGTCTTAGTACGACGACGCGTGCCTGCGGCTCTAATGCGATCGAACGGGTCATCGTCTTCGTCATCGGACTGCTCAGCGTAGTTGACGGCCTTTCTACCCTGTGAAGACGCCGAGTCAGCATGCCGCCTCGGGGAACTAGCATCGTGGCAAACATACCTTTCGCGTAGGGCTAGAGGAAGGCAGAACAGGTCTGCTACGAGACACCTGCGGGGTCACAGTCTCAGCGGGAATAGACGGTGATGGCAAGGAGTCCTGAGCTACCTTGAGTCCTGTGCCGTCCATATTCTCCTGGGAGCTCGAGGGCTCCATGGCGTCACTGCTGGGGACGGGGGTCACGCTGGGAGGTTGCTTGACCTTGGGGAGTTCGTTCGTTCGGGCAGACTCTCTGAGGCATGGCGATGAGTCGGGGCCTTTGGCCGCGGGCTTGGGGGTCGGCTTGGAGGCAGACTTGGAAAAGAACTGTACTATAGTCTTCTGAGTTCCCGAAGACGACGACGGCTGGCGCTTCAGCGAGGGAGTTTTGGCTGGTGTGCGAGCCGCTGGTGATGATTTGGGCGCCATGACGGCGAGTTGGATCGGTGAAAGTGTGGTTGTAGGTCAAACGAAGGTAGTCTGTCGTGTAGGAAGAAGAATCGAAATTCGGTGTGTTCCCGGTCTAGTTGGGATAAAGGAAGGCTACACGAAAGTAATTAGTAGAAAGAAGAATGGCCAATTGACAGATTCGAGAGCTCTTGAGTCGACTTGGGAACGCCGCGTTCGACGGTAGCTCTATGAAGACGAGCGAGAAGGCAGAAGGTCCGAAGTGTGGGTGGGTGTGTACCTTTTTGGGACTGCAGCAAGTGCCGTGCCCCGGCAGTGCTGGGAATCGCGTCGGGAAAGATCGTGGAGTCGCGTAACCGCGTCCTTGCCGCGTCTGGCTCAGAGCTGTGTTTAATTGAACGACCGGGGGGCAAGGAACTCCTGACGTTCCACGCAGGGGCCAGGAGCAGGCACTCGCTTAACATTTTTGGAAGTGGGGAAGGCATAAGCACGAGCCAACAGCATGCTGTATCACTATGCGCGTGTGCATAATTATGACATCCCGTCTGTCAGATCCACCCGGACCCGGCTGGGTGGGGTGTGCTCCCGGCCGAAGCCCGGCTGGGTTCCGGTGTAGATTAGCGCTTCATTGGAGGACGATAAACACACGAACAAGACTCGTCCACGAGGGTCTTCAGTATTTCCCATGTTGCTGTCTTTGTTCACACGTCTTGTGAGGTACCTAGTTAAAGAGTGTAATCCTTCCCCATCCAGGCCTGCATTTCCCCGGTTCCTATGTACAAAACTGAAGCCTGTCATGCAATTTGGCTAAGAGAGTGTTGGAGCCGTCCAGCTGGCGTAATCTGGCAGATTGACGTTGACGGTACTACGCTCGGTAATCGATGGCTTTGTTGCTGAATTGAGTAGGAAGTAGTTGATGTATTGCGTGAGCTCCGAGTTTTGGCTGCTCGGGAACTGGCAATGGTTGTGCCCGCCAACCAGAGAGAAACCCATGTTCTCGGGCACGCCAAGGGCCTGATAGATCTGTCTTCCGGCCTTCATGCATCCTGTGGTCGACACGGGGCCCAGCCAGTCGATGTCGTTCTCTGCAACATACAGGCCTCGCGGCGCCACCAATCCTGCCAGGAAGTGGTGGTCTTCTGGCATCTGAGATGTCCTCGAGGTCCAAGTGTTGAAGTTCGGCGAGAACCAAACATTCTCTCCAGCGACCTGGCCTGCGGTCTGGATATTTTTGCCCTTGCTTTTCTCGCTGTCCGAAATGCGCCAGCAGGCTGCGCCTCCGGAGCCGGACTCCTGAGGGATGGTCAAGGCGATACGCTTCTCCAATGCACCGACGACAAAGGCCCCCTTGCCGTTGCGCGAGCAGCCGGTGACTCCAAGGCGCTTGGTATCAATGCCAGTGGCCGCAGTACCGAGTTGTTCGAGGCCATCGATGATGCGACCAACTCCCCAGGCCCAGGCAGTCAACGCCCCAGCACTGTGTCCGCTTCCAAACAGGTTGTAGAAGAGTCCCTGGCCACGACTGGACTGTCCGTTCTGAGCAGCGAACTGGTCATTGTTGAAAGTGATCTGGGCGACAGTGCCAGGAATAGGGATGCTTGCTCCCCCGATGCCAATGATGGCGGGAAACGGTCCGCTTCCAGAGGGCTTCTGGATGGAGGCGCTCATGCTGATAGTAGAGCTGCCTTGGGTGACCCTCAGATTGAGCGTGTTGCCTGAAAGCGAGGCTTCGAGCTTGCTTGGAGGCCCAGGGAAATCTCCGAGTTCGTATTGCTTGAAGGCATTCTGAATCTCGGTCTGCCGGCAGGCCCAGTCGGTCTTTGTAGTGACCTTGGAGCCGTCTGCGAACGTGAAGGGGTCTGGAAGCTTTGCATCGTTGACTGCTGGGACGTTTATCTTCGCCTTGCTGCAGTCAGCTTGGCGTTCGAACAAGTCCCCGGCAGGCAATGCCAGAACAGAGCTTGCAAGCAGTGTGACTGCGAGACGCAGGGCCATTTTGTATTGTCGAGAGGTAGAGAGATTGGAATTGACGGAAGGGTCCGGTTCCGAATGGATTGATGAGACAATCATCGTGGTTTCAAGCTCTTGAAGGGCCATTTTATCTTCCAACCCCCGACAGAGGCCCGGAGAAATGGAAGTACCCACGCGGGGAAAGTAGCATGAGCTTCTCGTAGACGCATGGATCTGTAGCAATCCTATAAGCTAAGAATTACTTGCCATCGAAAACCGGCGGCTATGTTTACAGCCTTAAGACGTTGAGGGAAGATTCAACCACTGAACACGCACCTCATTGCCAAGTCGAATTGACTGCCGTCGACTTCCCCGCCGACAGCTAGACAACAACATGCCTTTTAATATATACACCACCGCCGACAATCCCAACTCGGACATATCGGAGGGAGGATTACCTTTTCAGGGTCGGCTAATCTGTCAAACACTCTGTCGAGCTTTGATCTGCGCCGGCTGAATTCTGCAGCCATGTAACGCTTTAGTGAGGATATTTGTAGCATGACTTACGAAACAAAGTGTTTTCATATGATAGGGTGTCCAGCCTCGGGCGGGGAATTCGCCTCCATGGCCCTTATTTGACACTTCTTGAGCATGACTGTTGAGGACCGAGGCAAGGCAAGATTACGTACGTCGGCCATCCATGCAGGAGCGAATTGCGATGGCATAGCTTCACTTGAGTTCGATATGCATGGTATCCGCCGGCATTTCTGCAGCAATGCCCCAAGATAAATAGAGAGGCTGAATACACGAAATATTGTCTTGAAGCGAATACGTCGAATTGCATCGAACATGGATTCCTTTCTCGGGGTCGGTTGAAACAGCCATCGACTTGAGTCCGGTACGTACCGATCTCATGCGCACCTACGGATAACTCATCTCATCATTCTGAGGACCCATAGAATTCGGATGCACAGGTCGTGAGGATTTAACGCGCTGATTTGAGCTGAAAAACCAATCAGCAGAGCTCTTCGGTTTCAATCCCAGTCTTTCTCATATGACACGTGCATGTCTGAAAGAATACCAGGCACGCCCAAGGCCCCAGCGCAACAAGCGAATCCCAACAATAAATCACATGTCTATCAACATCGGGCTCACAAGCTTGGTTAAAAGCCCAACAAGCTGGGATGCTCTTGAAGTATTCTCGACGCTGTGTCACTGTGTTCAATCACTTCTTACCGCCCTTGTTATTTGTCGCCGTTCGTCGCCGATTGTTGCCACTCGTCATCACGTCGACAGCTTTATTCTCAGTTTGATCGCAAACGACACAACACCAAGCCAAAATGCTCGGACACACGCTGCACGAACTCATCTTCATTCGTATATGCATATTCTTCCTGCAATACCCCATCATTACATACGCATCCGCTCTCGCCGTCTGCCTCCTGGGTCCCAAGCTCGGCTCACCAGACCCGCGATGGACGGCCGCTGCTTTATGGGTTGTCGGCTTCATGTTTGTTGAATTAGCGTATGCCTTATTCGTCTGGACACCGTATAAGATCCGCCTTGGGGAAGCCGCGAAACATCCAGCCCCGTTGTCGCCGGCTGCGAGACGCGCACTGTTTGAACGATGCATGGCCACAGTTCCGAACCCGGAGTTGTACCTCCGTGGGTGGTTCCTGGGGTCAGAGATCAAGGACATTCGCCGTGACAATGTTCACGAGTTTCTTCTCTGGGCCTTCTTTGACGAAGGCGCTGAGGATCACCCTACTTCAAGCGAAGTTGAGGAGGAAGTGGGCCGGTACATCAGCCGGACTGAACAATTGCTGGGTAGATCATTTGAGGACGGTCGTGGCCCTGCGCAAAGTCTACGGCTTACTTTTGACGACATCGAGACCAAGTATCGCAGCTTTTGGTGGTACGTAATGATGGCTGTCGTGGACGCCGGCACCCATGTTCTCCTCATGTTCAATGGCTTTGAATACTACGCTCAAAGCAGAGAAGACACCCTTGCCGTCTTCCCACCACGAATTCAACAACTCGCCGCCCAGCGTCGCTCTTCGACTGGGCTGAGCTATTGGCACCGCCCACATCAACAATCTGATCGACTTCCTATTATCTTCTTCCACGGCATAGGCATAGGGCTTTGGGTGTACGTTCGTTTTCTCGCTGAAGTCAGTGCCAGTAAAGTCAGAGGGGATGGCCAGGTTGGGGTCATAGCTCTCGAGATTTTGCCGATATCCTTCCGGTTGACGAAGCCTCCTCTGGGCAAGGACGCCTTTCTCGAACAATTCACCGAGATTCTCGACCGTCATTCGTGGGACAAATTTGTTCTTGTTTCTCACTCATATGGGTCTGTTTTGACAACGCATGTCTTGCGCTGTCCGGAGTTGCAGGCGAGAATCCCACGAGCGGTGCTCATCGATCCCGTGAGCATACTGCTCCATCTCCCCGACGTGGCATTCAACTTCACACGGCGTCAGCCAAAGCGCGCCAATGAGTGGCAGCTATGGTACTTTGCGAGTACAGACCCAGGGGTTGCCCATTGCCTCGGCAGACACTTCTTCTGGAGGGAGAATGTCATCTGGGCCGAGGAGCTCGCAGGACACCATCCAGAATTGGAAAATGCGGTTCGAACTGACGGATCAACGAGCGGTGGGCGAACCGCAACAAGGAAGATCACCGTCTGCTTATCGGGGCAGGATTTGATAGTTGACAGCCATGCTGTCGCCAAATATTTGGCAAACGGGAAGTCAAGCGACCCCGCATGTGCGCAGGGCGAAGGGAAGCAGGGTCGGCGCAATGCTGCCGGAGTGACTGGTTTGGGAAGCGAGCATCGACATTCAGCTGGATCGGACATAGACGTGCTCTGGTTCCCCTCCAGAGACCATGCGCAGGTGTTTGACTCAGTGCAGGACAGAGGGCGTATTGTCGGTGTCGTACGAGAATACTGCGAGAAATGACAGGCAAGCGGCTCGGCAAATACACCATGGAGAAAATGAACTTGCGTGCGGGAAAGGGAAAGTCGCTTCTCAGTGGTGACTCCTAGACTCGGAGTGTTGTACCATGTGATACCACAGGAAGCCAGCTGTCAAGGCAGTCCAACTTCATTCGCAAACGGTCTCATTTGGCTCGGTCACCACCCCAGTCTGTTAGGCCTACTACCACCGGCTGCGAGCCGCTGCGGGTGATGACCCACGCATTCTCTTGATCTGTTTCGTTAAGCAGCTGGTGTTCCGTCCAAGCCGGAACGAATGCGAAGTCTCCGGCTTCCATATCATGTCGCTTGACCTCTTGCGCCGCGCCCGGGCTGACAAGTAGAACTCCGGTGCCGGAGGTTGTGTAAATAATGGTATCTTGGCACATATTAGAGACCCATCACAAGGGGGCGGGAGGGCAGTACAGTGACAGGTTGGGGGCGTGAAAGAGGGGATAAAACGGGGGCACGATTCTGACCTTGCTCGCCGTGATGACGCACAGAGGAGGTAGTGTGCGGTTGGAGAGTCAAAACTGCTTAAAATAGTTACACAGGGAGCGCCATCAGTGAGGAAGTATGTTGCGTGCTGGTTGGGCAGGGGGAGAGGCAGGCTGGACCGGCCGGGTGTAACATACCAGAAGCACAGAGCTTATCGCTTTTGCTGACAATGGCATCGGCCTCTTTGGCGGGGCCTGGTTCTGGAGTTGTATCGGGCGCGCGTAGCGTTGTTGCTTTTGTGATGTGAACCGAGGAGGATGAGATGATCATGGGAAGCAAGTCGCTGATGAGAGGGATCAAGGACGACATGGTTTCCTGCAGGATGCTGGTCAGGCGGGATTCCGAGGTTCCGGTGGTCCTCCAAGGTCGGAACTGCAGAAAGCGGTCTGGAAGTTCAGGCGTGTCGTCTGGACGCGCTCCGGAGACAGGAAGAGGTCGGGTCGGGGTTGGTAGGGCAGCCCTCCAGTGGCGGACGGAAGCTATCACCAAGTAGGAAGGAGACGTTGGGCGGTCTTGGAGGTGAAGTGGGCACTCCGGCAACGGCTACAGCGAATGGCCGGGATTCCAAGACACCGAGCGACTATATTGCTGGCTAAATGACTTGTGGTAGCCCCGAGAAAATCGGATTGCGAGTGTCTCACGCGTTGATGCGAGACGAGACGATGTGACAAGGTGCTCAAGCAAGCTGAGCTGTTGGAGCAAGGCGCGTCCGTCGTGAAGGAGGTGTTGTGGTGGGGAGAGCCAGCGGCGAGGCCGACTGCACGGCAACGTTGACAGCGGATGATGACTGCCAGAAGGTAGTCGATTCTGACGTTGGATGGTGGTTCAGATATGGTTGCCAAGTGAGGGGCGTGGTATGGATGTTTTTGGAGCGAGGCTAGGGAAAATGATGTGATTCCCAGAACGAAGACAAAAACCCAAGGGCCGGTGGGAAGCGAGGCTTCAAATGGGAGGTAAGGCAAGGTTAAGGTCAGGTAGCCTTGGATTGAGGTGAAAGTGGTTAGGGTCGAGGGTCGAGATTCGCTGGATCTGAGTGGAGGGAATTGGAATGAAGTGAGCCGTAGCGTAGCGGACGACGTAGTGGTAAGAGGAAGGAGACGTGGATGGGAGCCCCGCCATGTCTTGGGTGCCTACCTACCTAATTGGGCAGGCTGGTGAACATTCTCGCTGACCTGTATGTACACCGTTAGATGCATATATATGCGTAGGGGCTGATCCCTTATGCGTTAATACGTCTGTAGTTGCATCTCAGACGGACCAACAAAAGAGACTGGGCCGGTTTCGACATGGACCAATGGATGTTTCTCGCTGCCATTCTGCAAAGGATCCTCTCCAGATTCCACTCGCAAAGGTTCCCCTATAGCCAGGCTTGGCCAGGGCCTTTTGACGATGCATTGGTTGCACGACAAGAGAACCGCCGGCTTGGCCACGTCGAGGTTGTGGATCGACTGACTGGCTGTAGCTGCACGAGCACCAGATGGAACAGGATCCAGGCTCGAGATAAGAAGGAGATGTTCGTTCAGTCTGCTGGATGCTGGGAGCAAGTCTCCAAATGGCAGCCTGAAGGGCGGCAACAGGCACCGTGGTGTTGCTCCAAGCTGCTGTATGCACCGCGAGAGGACCACAGGACGAGGCTTATCGATGGCGTTATCGCTGGGCTAGGGCCAGTTGCATCTATCGGGCATAACGTCCGATAAGCGAGAGCTCACAGGGTACTCAAGCCATGAGCTGAGGTTGAGATTGGAGTGTTGAAAGGGGGCAAGGGGCTTGTTTCTTTTGTCAGGGGCAGCTCAACGCCCGACTGCAAACTTCAGGCTTCACGTACCTCAAGTGGAGGCCGGCGTACTCCCGTACGCCTACCGGCAATAGTATCGGCTAGGTATTCGCAGGTTGGAGGGTACTAGGTAGTAGGTAAGGTGTGAACGCAACCATGTGCGTACATCCAATATGGCCAAAAGGCTCCCCGCAATCTTGCTGCTCCCGGCTCCCGGTGCCCCATGCGCTGTGACCCAGCCCGGTAAGAAGCTGACGGGAACGTATCCTCCCGGGCTGGTTTCCAGTGAGTGAGAGGTGCAGCAGCAGCAGCAGCAGCACCACCGGCATGCATATCCTCCACCCCAGCTAGCACCGCTGCACCTCATGCGACGCCCCGAGCAGCCTTCCTCTTCCGAGAACCAGATCCCATCCGCCGGGCACTGCATTAGTCGTGCCCCGACAACAGCTGCACACCTTACCAGGCTCCTGGCATGCCGTAACCGGGACTTCACAGCTGCTGCAACAGCAACCACCGCCGATTGCTAGACCAAGGGAACCTCTGGTCCGACCGCGACGACGACTGCCACCTTCACACCCTCACCCCGGCTCGTCGGAGACGGAGACGGCGACGGAGACGTGGAGACACAAAGTCTGGAGTCATGACCCCAACACTGACGACTCCACGCCTCCCACGCATCATTGTTGCCCGACCACGTCCTCCATGACTTGTTGACTTGACACCTTGATAAGCCACCCGTCCTCGAACCACCACCGCCCGACCGACCGATCGAACCGACGACCTGCACCATCCTACCTCAACAACCTGCCACCAAAGCCAACGAACGCCCAGCACCCCCTTTTGGCTGGTCTCGCCTCCAAGGTCGTCTCCATAAAGCTGTGCCTAGTCCATCCAGAAAGGAAAGCCATAACACCTACTTGGCCAACCTTCTTCCTGCCCTGGACATCGCACGACGCTGTCCGCCCTGATCGGCAACGGTTGCCGACTGTGTGGCACACGACTCCTTGCCTTGCTTTGTCCCTGTCCAGACATGGTCACATCCGACAAGATGGCTTCTACTCCTCCCGCCTCCAGCTCGGCCTCCGACGACGCTGCCCCAGCACCTAGTACCACTTCAAATTCGAGTAGCAACTACGGCGGCATCGACCCGGAAGTTGAGTCGAACCTCTATATTCTACCATACGTATCCGACGAAGGTTTGCGAAGCGATGTTACGGACCGCCGGAAAACAATTGGATCACCTCAGACCGACTACTACCCGCTTCCAACTGGACTTAATAACGTGACGCCTGCTGGTACGCTGTCTTTCACACTAGTCTCCTTGTCCAACCGCCATCTGACTTGCAACTCATTTGCTAGACATTTATCCTCCGCCAGCCGACGGCTGCCTACTTCTCTCACTGCCCTCTGAACTCATAGACTCAATCCTCGCATACCTGTCGCCTTGCGATTTGGCCATTGTCTCCGAGACTTGTCGTAGCCTCCATGCCCACGCCGTATCCGACGTCCATTGGTATCAAAGGGTGCAAACGAACGTGCCGGGCGTAAAACTCGACACACCGTACCCGTGTAGTACCTACCGCGAACTGTACACAGCCCATGATCCAAGATGGTTTCTACCCAAATACAAGATCTGGTTCTGCGACCGCGACCTCATGGGCAAGATGATTGTCGTGAGGTACGACCCGCGGAGAGGATGCATTGAAGGGTATCAGCTGCTGGCCATCAGCAATCGCACTACATACCAGCACTGGCCTGCCGATACAACCGTCATGATCCATGCGTTCGAGCCGAAAGTCAAGCTCCATTTAGACAAACCGGTACTCCAGTTCTACCCTAATTACCGAGAGCAGTCGCGCAACTTTTATGAGGCGATGAAAAATCGCTTTGCCGCTGAAGTTCCCATGGTAATTAACGACCGGTCCGATGCCATGTTCAGCAATTTCCTGCTGGCTCGGCCGCTCGATGTAGCCACGGCCACTTCGAGAATGGGAACGCTCTTCCCATATGGCAATGTTTGGCCTCCTCCAGCGATTCCGGCTCGCCATCGTGTGGCAGGCGTTGTCTCAGGACTGCACGGTGACGACCTCACGCCAACAGATCTGCCGACTCGAAGAGCCGAGGCTTCTGACCAAGCCTTCCGCATCAGACATTGGATGGAGATGGCCGGTGCCCCGGCAGCGGGGCTGTTTGTCGGCGCGGGTCCTGCCGGCCTGATACGGGCTATTCATGCCAATCTTTCGGCGCGAGGCCTACCAGGAGTGCATATCGGCGAGGAGGTTGTCACTTACTCGACGCTGGATCCCATCGTCTACACGCCGACACCGTTCAAGCCATGGCGCGGCATTTGGGTAGGCGACTACAGCGGTCACGGCTGCGAGTTCTTGTTGATCAACCAACCGGACGACGAAGAAGTATCTGACGAGGAGCTTGGTCTGGTGCGCTCTGCTGATGAGTCGGACGACGAGTGGACACGCCGACGTACGGATGCGAGAGTACACCGAGGCCGTTTGGAAGCAATTAAGCTCACCGGGGACCCTAATGTGCCCAGGGGAGAGTATACCTTCGTTGCAGACGACCTCGGCGAGGCAGGCTTTGTAGGGCTAGCCCAGGAACCTCCCTTCCAGGGCACACGAGTTGTGAAGAGCAAGGGACATGTGGCTGGAACCGGTTTCATGGAAGGTTGGTGCCAGCGTCCTCACTCCGTCGATGAATATATGCTAACGGCTCTTTGCATTCCAGACAGATACATTGAGTCCCAGCTTATGCTTATTTCCCATGACAGACTTGCGCAATACTGGGTCACATTTGGTCACATAAGTTTCTTTGAAAGGGTTAATATCGACGAGTTCATTGCACCGTGAGCCTCAGGCGGAAGATTGTTGAGAGTCATGGCATCGAAGAAGACGTGGAAGTGTTGTGTCCGTGTAATGAGTTGGCGGGCTTCGCTGCTGATGCGAACGTTACAGATTTACACATCTTAGCCTAGAGATGGGGAATGAATAACTCAGTAACGCCTCTAAAATACGGTATGCTTGTCAGCTCTCGCGCTCAAATAGAGGTCGTTCCTACAGAGCTTGCTGCCCAGGATTAGTGTCGTAATCTGTCGTTGTGAACTGAGCTAAACAGCTTGACCTCGACCCCGCCACCCCACCCCGCAAAACACATGTTGAGTGAGATTAGCGCCACGCGAGAATTTATTTCCTGCTGATTTTCTTCGCTTCTTTGCTCCCGCTTTTATCCGACGTAATGACGAAAACTTTACAATCTTGTCCAGCTCGAATGGCATTCAAAACGCCACCCCTCATTGTTTCACATGCAATTATTCTGGTTGGATGAGGTAAGGCAGGAAACAGCCAGACGGTCCATTTCGCTACTGGTACGCGAAGTGGCAGTCCCTTAGTCTCTCATCTCAACGTCATTGCGGCTCGCTTTTCCCCCATTTTTTAAGCCTTACCAAACTTGGCGCATCCTTCCGCCTTAAAAAAGTGGTGGTGGTGAGCAAGGATCCGGGCGTTGCTTGACTTTCACCCTT